TTTTTTTTTTCTTCTAAAAAACGTGATTTCTAACCACGCTTTCACTCTGTTGTGAGGAAAGCGTGTTTAGAAACTACGCTTTCAACACACTCACTCACACACTCTCTCTCTCTCTCTCTCTCTAACACAAATACACACATGACTCTCACACACACTAACACTTAATATATATATATAAATTTTAATATATATTTATAATTTAATATATATATAAATTTTATTTCATAAAATTGAAATCAATATTAAATATATATAATAATAATTTATAATAGAAAATAATAATCAATTATATAAAATGATTATTTTTTATTTTAATTCTTAATTTTTTTTTTATTTTACTATTTAGGGATAAAATTTATTTTTTTTTTATTTTACGGTTAAGATTTAAGGATTTATAAAAAAATAAATTTAAGAATTTAACTATAAAATTCTAAATCCTAAATTCTAAACCCTAAAATAAAATAAATTAAATTTTACGAATTAAACCCCACAACCTAAAATAAAAAAATTTATCCCTAAACACTAAGTGTGACGCCCCAATTTTTTTTTCCGAAACAGTCATAAGATTTAAATAACGATAACTTGCTAGATAAAGTTTAAACTACTAATTAGGAACTTTTTAAGTTCTTACATAGTCAAAGTCTAACAACAAAATAAAACTACAAATTCAACCCAAACGTCACAACATAGTTAAATCTTAATCAGGGATAACAGGATTTTATTTCGATAAAATCTTGACTCTAAGTCAGCAAGGTTCGATATTGGCAGCAGCTCCAATTTATGCCTCAGTCCCTTCTTCAACATAACTGGCCATGAAACACCAGGGCAACAAAATATATGCCATGAGTTTTTGCAACACAGTAAGAAAACGTAACCAACCTACTATTATTTTTTAAGAGAAAAATAATATTCTAAACATGAGATAACCATATAATATACACAGAAATTACAACTATTAAAATAATTTCAGTAATTTTTATAATATTAGGTGCACTCGAAATCTCACCAAAGAGATTTAACTTACCAATCACTAAGCATGGCAACGGTTAATTTGAAACCTTCTCTTGGTCAAATATTTAAGTGTTACCGAACCGTAACTACCAGGGATGCCCACATCTGGAGTTATATACCCAAGTAGTGGCATCCGTGGTCTGCCCCAAGGAAACGGTCTGCCAGGGGTAAGTAACCTCCCTGTGTGCCCACCACATCCACCCTATTCCAAAATCGAATACCGAAAAAGGGGTCAAATAAGTCCGTGCCATCTTAGTGTTCCGCAACACAATTTCCGTGAGATTCTCAAAACCAGGGCTCACCCTGACAACCAGTGTTAACCGTCAACTCTTAATCCCGTACAGTCTTTAAACCAAGACTCACCCCGAACAACTGGTATTAACCGTCAATTGTTAACTTTGCATATGCCGTTAATCATTTCAGTTAATTTTGATATTAATCACAAATAATTTCAAATTTTTAATCACAAGTAATGTTATACCAACTCATTAAAATTCTCAATCATAAAAATATTGCATGTGTCACACAATACTAAATAAAAGTACAGAATTTAAATAAACAATTTATTTAAATCATGGTATGAAATAATAACTTAGATACAAGAATTAAACCCTAAATACACACATGCACAAATTTTTGATTTACAAAATTAGACTAGCATAATATTAAAGTGGTGATTTTATTCTGTTCAGAAAAATTTTCAGAGTATTATCTTGCAAATAAAATTATAAATACATTATTTATACAACTCTAAAATTCATATCAATCTACAGGATACTCAATAAACATGTTATGGTTATTTTTCAGAAAGCATTTTTCAAAAATAACTTATAAATAATTCTAAACAAATTCCAAGGGTGTTTATGACACAGGTTTGTCACAATTCCTTACATTAATTCCATGCTTAAATTTATAGATCAAACCCATAATCTAAAAATTTATCATGAAACTAGACTTCTCAAATTTCATCTTTTAGTTAGAAATTACCAGATTTGGCTTAGTATAGAATTTTAAATAAATTTTCAAATACATGGTAAAATCTGTCTCACAGTTTCAGATTTAGTTAGAAATTTGTATAAATTCGTAGAAAGCTCAAAAATTGTTTCCAAATTTTTTTGGATAAACTAGACATCATTATCAACATCTTTGTAGAAGAAATCATCTCGAAATTTTGAGTATAAAATTGTCTAAAAATTCGGGTAAACATGCTGGCAGATTCAAAACAGATTATTCTCAACACAGTTTCAGATTTAGTTAAAAATTTGTATAAATTCGTAGAAAGCTCAAAAATTGCTTCCAAAAATTTATGGATAAACTAGATGTCATTATCAATAATTTTGTAGAAGAAATCATCTCGAAATTTTGAGTGTAAAATTATCTAAAAATTCGGGTAAACATGCTAACAGATTCAAAACAGATTATTCTCAACACAGTTTTCCTACACATACATATAAAATTTCTATTTATGAGTAGTCATTTTAATCACAAGGAAGTGATCTGAAAGTTTCACTAATAAAAAGAAATGAGAGGGTTGAGAAGGTTTTCTTACTTAGTTGTAGGGTGACAAAATTGTTGAGAATTTTGACTTCCTTAATCTCCTACTCTTCTTCCTCTCATATCACTAAGTTTGATTGCTTCAGGGATTTCTCTCTTTTTTTCTTTTTTTTTTTCTCTCCGAATGCTTGCATGCACCCTATAGACAATGAAGACTTGCATGCATATATATATATACAATGCTTGTTGCACAAATCTCTCTCTCTCTCTCTCTCTCTGTGATGATTGATCTCATGATTTTGTTGGTTGTGTATTGGTTTGTTGCTGAGGGGCTACTGTCTTTCTCATGGGGTAGATCTTATCCTCCGTCATGGCTTGGGTTAAGTGGCTTGGATGTCACGGCTGTGAGGAGTGGGTTGCTTATTGGATTACATGTTTCATCTGCAGTAGAGACTGGGGGCTTGTGGGGTTGATTATTATCTTTGACTCGGCTTGAGGGTTGTTGTTTGGTCTGTGTCTGTTTTTGTTTATTACTCCCTCCGTCCCAAAATATTGGTCCCTTTTGGGGAATCTAACTTTTTTTGGTAGTACACTTATTGCATTTGAAAAAAGTTGGTTTTCCAAAATTACCCTTTTGATAGTACATTTTTTGGGAATATCAATGTCATAATTGTACTTTTTAAATTGTTTATTAATTTAAAAGAAGGGCAAAATAGGAAATTTACATTATTTTTGTACTTGATTTATAAAGAGGGACTAATATTTTGGGACAATGAAAAATGGAATAAGGGACTAATATTTTGGGACGGAGGGAGTATTTGTATTTGTGTGGGTTTCTGAAAATTGATACACTAAGATTTTTAACTAAGGTATTTAGTAAGAATAATTATTATATTGAATCCTAATTAAAATAATTTATAACCAACAAATATTGAACATTCACAAAATTATTATTCTTAATAATGCTTTTGTTAGTGATTGAATTGAATTAATTTAAAACTAACTTTTACACTAATACATATTTCAGATAGACTCTGGATAAAATTAATTAATTAATTTATTTATCTTCTTTTAAAAATAATAAAATGTGGGTTTTCGCACTAAGGTAGCTTTTGGTAACATTTACGTTTTTGGTTTATGTTTATAAAAATTTTATAAACTGGTTTCTGTTTATTTTTAGAAAAACATAAATTACAAACTTGTTTGGTTTGAACAAAATGTTTGTTCAAACCTAAAATATTTATATTTATATTTGTATTTATTATTTATGACAATGGGATCACACATAGTATAAGTGAAAAAAAATTAATTAAAAAAAATATTTGAAAAAAATTTAATTCGAAAAAATGTGGTTTGTAAAAATTATTGGAAAAAAACGTGGTTTATATTTATTATTTATGACAATGGGATCACACATATTATAATTGAAAAAAATTTAATTAAAAAAACAATTGCAAAAAAATTTAATTGAAAAAAAAATTATTTGAAAAATAAAAATTGAAAACTGAAAATGTAAACTCATTTTTTGAGTTTACGTTTTTTCCTCAAATTATAAACTGAGACAACCATTTATAAACTAACGATTTTTCCAAAAAAAAATTTCAATAATTTTTACAGATAGAAAAAAATTTGAACAGATAGAAAAAAATTTGAACAGATAGTCAATGAAAAGTCAATGGATAAAAAAGTAAATAGAAAAAATTAAAAGGTAAAATTAGAAACAAAATATCCTCCAAAAGCAAATTTCTCATTAAAATATTTTAAAAAAGGTTAATCTCTCACAAAGAAAAACTATCCACCAGACCTAATTATCTTGAGCTTTTTCAATAATTATCTCTAAAATTAATAATTAAAGGTTTAACTAAAAAAATTGACAATAATTTACGTATAAATTTTGAGATAAAGATGTGAATTTTTAATAGATATTAATGAAAATTTGATAAAAAAAATTATGATAATTCATATCAAATTAAATTTTTACTCAAATTTAAAATCATATTAAATGAAAAAATGGGTGAAATATTCCACATCTTACTAAGAATTTTTTTTTATCTAGTGATATTTTTTAATCAATCACAAATTTTTATACCTTTTATTATCTCTCAAACATCTATTATATTTAATAAATATAATGAATCTCATTATTGAATTTTTTATTTTTATTTTTTTTAGATGTGATTCATATTATTGATCTTACCTGTTGAAACAACAGCTTATTTTGAAAAGTAGATTAAAAATTAAGTTTTTTTATTTATTTTAATTTTATTTGAAAAAATATATATAAAAAAAAGTAAAATGACAAATTGTGACTCAAAAAAAGTGACCCCCAAAGGGGTCTCAACCTTTATTCTTTTCAAAATAGGCCAACTTCTCCAATAATTTAGGGATAATATTTAAAAATTTATTCACTAATATTTATTATTATTAGTATATTAAGGGATAATATTTAAAAATTTATTTACTAATATTTATTATTATTAGTATATTATTTTGTAGAAAGACATATCTGTGAGCATTGCAAATACAGGTGAGGAAGAAACAGAAGGATGAGATGATGATGGTTCAGTGCAGACCAGCAGCGGCCATATTTAGTTTATCTCTCAAACCTTCATCATCATCTTCTTCTTCTTCATCTTCATCTTCTGCAAAAATGGCACTCAATAATTTCAACAAAAACAGGACTAGAAAGCTACCAGTGTTGCTGTTCGATGTAATGGACACCATCGTTCGCGACCCTTTTTACCATGACGTTCCTGCCTTCTTCAGGTAACTCCACTCATCCCATCGATTTCATTCTTTATTTCATTCCAATTCTTTTACCCTATATCCCCTTATTATTCGCTACTTTTTGTTGGTTTCTTCCTCAATTTTGCATTCTGATGTCTATTTAGTTGTATTTTCATTTTCTGTTTTCAATTTTTATGTTTTGAAAGGTAAAAAAAACTTGCTTGGTGAATTATTTTTGAAAACTGTTTTCAGACCTTTTTTTTTTTTTGGGGGGGGGGAACAACCCACATTTTGGGAAATATTTTAAAATTGTTTATGAATTTCTGAAAATTGTTTTCACACAAATGTTCCCTTGTAGATTTTATTTATTTGATCAGCAACAAAGAAAAAACATTATTGAGAACCAAAACTACAGACTTACTTACACACCACCCTTAAATCTTTAGAAATATACAAACAAAGGGATCCTCTTGAAAGGGGATGAAATTGAAACCCAGAAAGCATCCAAGTCTTCAAACTTATTTTTGAAAATTCTCGCATTTCTCTCCAACCAAATCACCTAAAAAACAACACAAATCACACAATCCCAAAACACTCGGGCCTTCTTGACCAAAACCCTTTTAATCAATCAAGAGTATATTAAAAACAAGTGGATAGAGCTACCAATGAACGTCCTCCAGCTGAAATAGTTTGTACCATAAAGTTAAAGCTATTTGACAATGTTAAAAATAAATGGTCAATTCTGTCCTTGTTCCCTTTACACATAATACACCACCAAGGAGGTAAACCATGATTAATTCTAATTCTATGAAACATAACATTAGTATTGAATTTATTGCGAGACATAGACCATACAAATACTTTTAGTTTAAGAAGTTCTATAGCACTCCAAATCACATCCCTGTGGCTCATAAAGCGAAACATGTGGATTATCAATAATCTTAACAAAAAATGCCTTACTAGAAAATAATCTTAAAGAATGAGTAGACCACAACCTTCTATCTAAACATCTAGATCTCGAGGAATTGTCATTAAAAATAAACAACAAATTAAGGTACCTGAAGAAATTAAAATTTCAAGAAATCGGAGCCATATGAGACCTAGAGCCATAGAAGCAATAGAGACAATATGAGAGCAAGATAATCAATACAAACGAGGAAACAAAAGATCAAATGAAATGAAACCCTTCCATATGTTCTTCCAAATCAAATACTCTTCCCATTACCCACGTTTAGGGTAAGTTTGGGAAGACTAAATAAGTGTACTTTTTGATTTTTTATGAAATATGGGTTGGATTTGGGTTGGGTTTGAAGTGATGTGTTAGAGAGATGATGTGACTTAAATGAGATGATGTGACTTAAATAGGATAGTAACTTTTTGACTTTTTGAATTTTTTGAAAGATGCCAAACTTGGCCTTAAACAAGTAAATCATGAAAAGACAGGAAGAATTTGAGAAATGGATTTACACGGAGACAGAGAGTTTCTCCTGCCTTTCAAATGCTATCAGTAAAATATCCAAAGCGTCCTTACAGTTAAGATATAATAACGTGGTTATCAATTTACGTGACCTGATAGTACGTTGTGGCAAAAAGAGAGTAGGAGAGTAGGTATAGAGATACTCTTGCTGGTTGATCATTAATAGTGTTTTTTCTTTTTTAGATTTTCTCTTTAGCCTTCTTAATTAATGGGAGGTGAATTTTAAATGTTCTCTACCAGTGGAATAGGTACTCTTCTGAAGAAAAAAAAATTGATTTTGTTGTATAAGAAATTGGACTTGTAAACAATCTATTGTGCAAAATTGACAAAGATCTTACTTTGGCATATATTTTAAATTTAATACTAGTAGATGTTGGTCTACACAAAAGATCTTATCTCAAGAAAACTATCTGGCCAATCAATTTTTAAGATGGTATCACTATTTCCCCTTTTCTTCTGGTTTGTAATGCTCATATTTCACTTGCTATTACGTTCTTAAATTTATCTTGGTTATTAGTTATTTTCTTATATCATTTATGTATTATCCAATTGAGATGTCCTGCACAGAATGTCTTTGAAGGAACTAATAGAATGCAAGGATCCAACTGCGTGGATTGAGTTTGAAAAGGGGTTGATAAATGAGGTACACAAAGAAATGGTGTGAAAATTATATTTGCTTCATATTTACTTGATAGAAAATTATTGTGAACAAAAATATGTTTCAGTTTAAATCATCTTCTTTGAACATAGACATCATTTAAGGAACAGTTGGACCTAAAGTTACGTTGCCAATTAGGTTTTGGCTTACCATTGAAAACTTCCATTTTCTTTAAGAAGCTTCATTTTAGTTGCTTCACATCAATCTCACACAAGGTTTCGAAAAGCGGGTGCGGTCGCCATAACAGTTGCAGTGGAGTGAATTGAAAAGCCTAACCTACACTTCTCCTTAAAATCTAGGTATTAAGGAGAAAGAAACTGGAGCCTTATAACTAAGTACAGATGAGGCAACTCCAAGCGATGTGGGACACATCACCAAACGGCACACCAGTCATAGGTCCAACCAAACTCTGATACGAAATTGAAAAGCTCAACCCACACTTCTTCTTCTTAAAACTGGATTTTAAAGAGAGGGAAACTGGAGCCTTATAATTAGCACAGATAGGGCAATTCCAGGCGACATGGGACACATTCCAATAGTGTGGTTGTAGTTGCGGGGTGTAAAGGGCATAGCGTAACGATTGTGATAATCGAAACTGTGAATTTTTTTTTTTTTTTAATGTTACGTACAATTTGAAAAAAAACTTACCAATACGCATAATTTTTCTTCAGAATCACATTTATTAGGGTTTTAAATTGATTTTGATCAATTTTTTAGTTTTTAAGTATGATCTAATATATTTCATATTTTTAAATCACTACAAAATGAGTTTTTTACATTTTATTTCAATAGTTAAGGACTTTAAAAATAATTGATTTTAAATGTCTACAAATTATCTTTGACCAATACCTGAACTAATTAAATAAAAAATATTCACAATTATTAAATGAAATGATTATAAAAATAAAAATTGTACTATGAAAAAATTATTTTTTAGGCATTTTTTTAGACAACGCTTTACAACTAACTAAATAAAATTATTTACAATTAAGTATTAAATGACATGATTGTAAAAATAAAAATAGTGCCATAAACAAAAATTATTTTTGAGCTACTGATTTGATTTATTCTTTTAAAGACATTTTTTTAGACAACCTATTACAGTAACAAAATAAAATTTTTTGCAATTAAATATTAAATAAAATGATTATAAAAATAAATACAACCACTGTTTATATATTTTTTATTTTAAATGCTAATGTAATGAAATAAAAATTAAAAAATAAATTATAGAGAAAAAAATTCATATAAGATTTTTTCTTTGGATTTGAATCACTTGAATATTTGTTCTTTTTTCGTAAGCTTTTTTTTGTTTATTTTTGGAATGGAAGTTATTTAGAATATTGTAAAAGTATGTAACGGTGTGTAACGGACCGTTACGGCCATTATGGTACCGCTACAGCCGTTACGTTGCACCAAAATGGCCGTTACACATGTGAATTTCTGTCACACCGCTATAGTGACCTCTCTCTCTCTCTCGCTCTCTCACACACACACACACACACAATAGTTTTAGTTTCAACATGTTTTGAAACTTAGTAGATACATGCATATGGGGGTAAAACGTGGTTATCATCTACACCTCTCACGTATCATGCACACATGGACGATTACACGTGCTTTACATGTTGGCCAAGGGACATAAATGTGTCAGCCTTTTTTGAACACGTGTTTGTGCAATGTTCTTGGGAGATTTGATAGCATTTTAGGTGATGTACCTAAGTCTTAAGTTCAAACCCCTGATCAGTTACTACAATAGTTATACCATGTGGAGCTTACACATGTGGGAGTTGCATCGGCTATCTCCATGCACGTAAGTTAAGAGGTAGGACTTAGGTATGATGAAGTCTTTAGCAAGGCACCATAGGCTCCGGGGTTTTGCGGCTTGGTGACAAATCTGTTGATTGGCATGACACCCTCATGAGTGGCACCACCTTAAGCCACATCCTTATTGAGAGACACCATTGGTCTTATGTACAAAGACTTGGGAATCAAGGCAAATCCTAGTTGATTGATATGTCTGACACATTAATTGGCTTATTCTAATAGGATTTCAGGATATCCAGAAAGTTTGTTATGGGTTATGGTTACGGGTCACGTGACTCTCCCTCCCATAAATAAGAGGTGGTGGATCAAGGAAGAGTAGGCATGAAGACATGTTAGGCACAAGACGCTTCAATAGGAAGCCTAATAATTTTAGGAGATTTTGTTTTCATTTTTATGTATTTCTTTTTCTTTTTCTTTTTTATAAAAGTTTTCTTATTGGTTATGGAAGACAAATATATATATATATATATAAGGATCGTGCAAGGAAAGTACTCACCGTTTGATGAATGAATATTGATTGGTTGCATTATAGTGCTTAGTTGGGAGGGTTGAATTTTTTGAATTATGTTTGCTGCTCCTTTTTAATTATGTTTTATATGTATTTATTTAAATGGAACTTAAATTTTGTTTTCTTACAGACGGAGCTTGCTAGAAAATTTTTTAAAGATGGAAGGCCTTTTGATTTGGAAGGTATGTGAGATTATTTCACAGGATTCGATCTTGAAATGACAATTGTATAAGTTATTTGAACTTCCACCATGATGCTTCCCTTTTCTTTTCTCCTTTTGTATTCAGTCTATGGTCTAATGTTAAATTTGTGTGGATTATTATTATTGTTGTTGTTGTTGTTGTTGTAGTTACAAATATAATAACTTTATAACCAGGCTTGGTGATTATTCTGCTGTCCTAGTTTATGTATTTAAACTATTTTTTTCTCATTTGTTTACCCTCAGAACTCACTTACAAGAATAATGATGCATACATTTGGGGTTCTCCACTTGGCATTTTCAACAGACAAATAGAAGTTCAGTGATTTAGTGGGGTGTGTATACAACTGTCCAGCACTTTGCTATATTTTCCCTAGATTTTGAACTGGGCATGCTATATCCTCCTTGTATATGATCTTTTGTATAAAAATGGAGTTCATAAATGAGTGTCTTATATACCCGTTAAAAGGGTTCTTTGACGGGGCAGGATAAGGCTGGATATAGCAGGAATTTGATTATTTTGTTCACACTATATTTGTGTGTTTGTAAGGAAATGTTTAAATTATATAAGGCCATTACCCAATATCGGTCCTGCCAATTCTGGCTGCACCTCTGGCTCAAAACACACGACGAGACTGCCTTGGTCCAAGTGGCAACTCTTAAATTTGTTTACAATGATTGATGATTCTTTCATTAGTTTTGTGATTTGTATTTCTGCTCCTAAAGAATGCTGTAAAACTATCTGTGCATTGGTTCTTTCTTCGCAACTGTTATTAATGTCATCTAAACTGCAGGGCTTAAAAATTGTATGAGAAGAGGATACGCCTACATAGAAGGTGTTGACGGATTACTTCATGCTTTGAAACAAAACAACTATGAAATGCATGCTTTCACAAATTATCCAATCTGGTACGAGTAATTACCAATTCTAAAGCAAAATGAATCAATTGATTGCTCATTACTATTTATTATCTGGAAATTTTTACTTTGTAGGTATGAAATGATTGAGGACAAGTTGAAACTCTCAAGCTATTTATCTTGGTCCTTCTGTTCATGTATTACTGGTATTGTCATGGTTTGACCTCGTTTAGATTTTGTGTGTGTATTACCGTCAATTCAGTATTAGGAGTCCTTACTATCCTCTAAAAAGTAGGAGTCCTTGCAAATTCAGTAGCTAAGAGAACTCATCTTGGTGAAAGTAATATAAATAACATTTTCTCATGGCAATCTAGTTCAATACATTTTTAAATGTGTAGGCACAGTGACTAGAAGTCTCCACTTTGGTGATCAATGCAAGTTGTCCATTTTTATTTTCCTTTTGCTTTTGGGTGTTCCATACATCAATTTCTTTTCATTTTTTTTTTTTAATGGAAAAATGTTCTAGTGCAAACACTTGCATTTTAAGACCCCGAGAACTAGACTCTTACTAATAAGATATTGGTGTCGTGGTTTTCTGTATTAAGCATGATTACAATAACTGTAGTTGGTAACTTCTCCCCTAAATGCAGGGAAAAGGAAGCCCGAGCCTGATTTTTACTTGGAAGTTCTGAGGCATCTTGATGTTGAGCCAGCAAGCTGTATCTTCATTGATGACAGGTTATTCTTTTGTTTTCCATATGTTTCTCAGTTGTAAAAGAAACTATATAGATTTTTGCTAGTGAAAAAAGAAAAAAAGGAAAGAAAGGGAGTCATTTAACTTGTACTGAAGCAGTTGACTCATATTCAATGATTCTATCCTCTGGACAGCAGTCTGTAAATACAGCTTTCCTAATCTGTATGCCAATTTTGCCTGGTTTAAGGCATTGGCATTTTGATCTGTGATCATGTAGGGTGGATAGCATTGTTGGAATAGACTAGACGTGGGGTATTTTCATTTTTCCCAACTTTCTTTCCTAACATGAAATTTTGGGTTCAAACAGAATATGCTTGTGAAGATATTGACCAGGGCGTGTCTTGGCTTGACAAATGGTCGCAAATTAGTCAATGCTAACATATTGTTTCAACATACACAATTTGCTCCTCTTAAGTTTTTTCCAAACCTTGTCTGAATCTGAAGTAATAGAGTTCAAGACAAAGCACCAAACTAGGTCCCAAACAAGAAAGAATACGATGAGTAGACATTGCTTTAACCCTTTGTCTCTCTTGGCACTAGCACAAATCTGCATTTTTGCCACACTAATGTAACTCATCCTTTGGCTAACATTTGCCAAAAAATGTAGCACACAAAAACTTCAGGCCCATTAAAAAATTGTATACACAGACACATGTATACATAAACATATTCAGAAAAGAAAATGGTAGAAGCAAAGATACGGGGGAGATGGGATGCTATACAATCTTCTAAGCCTCTTGAGTACCAAGAAGACATAAGTTAGAAGATTTTTTGTTTGCTTTTTCTGGCCTACCGGGGGTGGGGTGGATGGTGTACGTAATGGGAGATCAATAAAGGTAGTGCCGTACACTGAGAGCAAGGGGTGGAAACAGATAATAAATATCAAGTTCTCTTCAGTTTAGACATTATTTTTCTGTAAGCTCTATTCTATTTGACAAAAATAAGCTATACATGGCCTTTGTACTAAAACAACTAGAGACTAGAGGTTTGGTGCTTAAATTTCTGTAGTAACCCTCTAAACTTGGAAGCCAAAATTTGTGTATTGAAATGACAACTTTATTATTAGGGTTCTCCTAGAGACCCCAAATAAAGTACAAACTAAATTACCAACTACGCATGATGAGATGTGGACCCCACAACCATATAGTTATGGGACCCACACCTTGTTGTAAGTAGTTGGTAATTTAATGTGTAAATTAGGGATCTCTAGCATTTTTGTTATTATTATTATTATTATTATTATTTTTTGGGACTGCTAGTGAACGAAACTGGAACCCGACCCTCTTTTTTAGATAGTATACCAGCTCATTTATCATTGTGCTTGATTTGACAAAAATAAGAGCACCTTGAAATGCTACAAAAAGTTCCTTGGAAATTATGACAATGTGGGTGTTTGGAAAGTTGCTATTTTAGTAAGTTATTTTAGTTTTTAGCTATTTTAGAAGGCTAAAATTTTTGTGTTTGAGAAGATAGTTGGATTTTTTTGTAGTTAAATGTAATGTTTGTGAGAGAAAAAGTGAAATGATTATGGATTTGATATGACATTTTGTCTTATTGGCTATTTTAGCCTATTTTATCTTTTAGTGCAATTTTAGCCAAAAAAGCCAAAAAAAACACCCCCAATAAGTACTGCTTCTGGTAAACTACTATATTAAGTGATGTAGGACAGCACTAGTAAGATGGATTTTGACGGAGGCTCTGCTAAATTTGTACAAATGCCTGAAATCTAATTGTAACTTAAAAAGCAGATAGTGTGAACTATTTCCTAATGGTTGGTTGTTGTTTCTTTTCATTGTTTAGAATAAATAAGTATATGCGGATAATTTGGATGCACATAACAATAAAAATACAACTGGGGGAAGGGACAGACAGAGGACATTGCTTAATGATTACCTACTCATTTGTACGGTTGGTTACCCATATCAGGTTGAGAAACGTCGAGGCAGCAATGGATGCTGGCATCATTGGTCTACATTTCAAGGATGTGAATTTACTGTGTCAGGATCTCTCTCTCCAAGGCATTGATATTTCAGCAAACAAACACAATAGAAATCAAGATCCGGCCGAGCATGAACAAGAACACTTGTCTTGAGTTCTGTAAGCTCTTACCGTGATCCTCGTGTATTTTTCTTACATATTTTCATATATATATATATATATATTTCCTGGATGATAGCAGAAATTAGTTTAAGATGGTATGGAAATCATTTTATTTCTGAAATTCCAAATCATTAGTTCTGGAGTACTTGCTCGTTTTTACTTGTGAACAAGTTGGTCCTTGAGGATTTTCATCCATCTCCTGTAACAGTAATATATGTTAAAAAGGGCTTTGTGTATTTTTTTGGGTGAATAGGATATAAATTATCAACTTGCCTTTCTCTCTAACAGCTTAAGCTTTTAGATGAGTAACTAACAATTCAATATGGTATCAGAGCAGGTAATAGATCCTATGTTGAGCATCACTGCCTACCTGATAATTAAAATACTTGCACCTGTTTAGTCCGCTTATGAAGGAGAGCTTGACCACACGTGAGGGGGTATGTTGAGGATATAGACAATTAAGTTGCTTCTCTCTTTAACAACTTAAGTTTCTTGAACTGTAAGATATGAATGTCAGAATTTGGTCAAACTAAAAAAGGAAAAGAAAATAGAAATATTTTTGTCATCCTGATGCCGTTAACAAAAGAAATACTTTCATTATTTCATAATTAGATTGCTAAAATTTTATTCAAGGAAATGATTCTGTTCATGAATGATTCATTGCAAGACACCAGCTGAAGCATGGCAACTATTTGAATAGCTGCACACATACCACTTTGTGCATTTATCTTTTTCTTTATGATTTGTTAAATGGTGGATTTTTTATCTTTAATTTTACATTTTTCTTTTATAATGCCTTAGAAAATGACTTTATTGGTATAAAATATGATCAAGCTTGGTACTTGTCCTGAATATGTGCACTATGAAAATATGTTGGAGAACTTAATGAATATACTTCTGAACTTTTAGCATGTATACTCCCAAACGGCTGGACAAACCGGAAGAGTGCTTCAGCCACATAATATGCATGTTTAGAAATTATGGTCAAGCATGGTACTAGTTTTTAAAGTTTTGTAATGTCATACTCGTATCTCATATATGTATTCTGTATTCATGTCCCTGCTTCATGGTTGTATGTTAAAAATTTGAGAGGTGATGTTTGCATAAGCTGAGCTCATACTGACTGATTCTACCTATTGATTTTGTTTTGCCATGGATGGTCTCCTTAGCTCCATTGCTAATTTGCTTTGTCAGTCTTTTTTTTTCTCTTCTCGTTGTCTCACTTGTATCTGGCAGCAGAGAGCAGTTGTCTCGTGCTGTATGGATTTATTATGCTGAATGGATTTATTATGAAGTCATGACAAGTTATTGTTGATATATTCATTCCGGATGATTTTATTTTATCCGCTGATGCTATTTTTGGTTTAAGCCAATGATTAATGTCTGTCATGTAGGTGGTTTATCCTGATTCATTACCAGAAACATAAATCGACAGACTATGGGAAGACACTAATTACTTTCCATTCTAAGATGGGTAAAGAGCACTCCAGTCACCAAGAACAGTTTCTTCGGGGTTGTGGAAGGAAAACTTGTGTTGTTTCTTAAATTCCTAATACAAACTGAGGGATATTCGAATCCTACCGTTGTTTGCTTTTATTTATATATTTATTTTTAACTAGAGACATGAAAGGCTTTTCTTTCTTCAAGTAGGGAGACAGCATGGTTAGCAATCCAAAATGACAGTGTGTTTGGGAGGTTGGTGTTGCTAAGTTCTCTGTAGAATTTACTTGTCAAAAATAAAAACAAAGTGCAAAAAAGCTTTAGAAATTGCAGGTTAAATCTATGTAATTCTTTGCTCTGTAATTATTGTTTTATGCATTAGTTCTTGTCATCTTATTCATAGGTCATGTCAGGGAATGGAAGAAAAGGAAAATAAATTATTTTTTGTTCCCTTCAAAATTAGGTTAGAAATGAGTGGTTTCATTCTGAACCTAAGCTTTGATACTATGTGACACAATCTTAGGTATAACTCAACTCCAAAAGCAAGTTTGTGAGTTGAGAATGCTTGTGCTTTTACACTGCACAATTCCCTTATCTCTAGGTGATGTAGGACTTTTGCTTCATGTGACATGGTCTTGAAGGCAGCTTCTAAGGTTAAGTTCTATGCAAGACAATGTCACATAATATTATCAGAGTCGGACATACCGCAGAGATGGATGGGGTGCATGTCCCAAGCCCTGCACGCTAGGCATAAAGGAGGGTGTGAATCCAGTATCACATAGTCCAGGTGAAGAGAGATTGTACAGTGTACATGCATGAGGAAACATTTCACAAACTAATTTTTGAATTGGATTCTATCCAAGACTGCCACAACAACATGATACTTTGAGATTAACCATATAAAGATAATTATCGATAAAGTCAAATCAACCACTTGAAAGTGGCAAAATGCAATAGAAGTAGAGCCATTATCATCACAATCAGTAGAAAGCATCAAAGCAGGTGATAAACCAGGTCACCATATCAACATGCAGGTACAGATTGATTGTTCAATTTCCACTATAATTTATAAAACAAAATGAACTTGATTAATTTTCTTCACAAAACCACAAACCGTTCATTATGCACAGATGGAATGAATATAAATATTATACAACATGACATTTATAACACAACAGATCAACACAACATAATGTTGTTTATTAATATAAATGTTTCCCATGTTCTAAAAAAAAACAGGTCGAGAAGGTGATAAACCAGGTCTAGACACTATCACCCTAAAAGCAACAATAAACAAAACAAACAGGCCCTGGAACGAAATCAAACTCCACAAGAATATATTGCCCCCAAGAAAGTAGTACTTTCTTGATAAAAGATTGATGACCAACTCCATCCAAGCTCTCATGACTTCTTGAAATTTGGTGAAAGCTTGTCCCCAGTTTTCCGAGCTTGATGTACTGACCAGCTTGCGCTCTCAGGATAAATAATTGCATATGCAGCCAGAGTGACCAATCATTAAACTACCAGATATTCACCCTCCTGCCAACCGTCTTGTGAGAGAATATAATCATCAGAAGCTTAAGAAAATATGTGGGTGCATTTGATGATCCATGGTTTTGAAAAGAAAAGCCTTATGTGCTCCTCATCTAGAGATACCAAGCCATCATAGATACCACTTTGCAACATCAAAACTTGGTTTAATAAATTTCACTTTCCATCTTTTGCAGGTTGAAGTCCCAAGGCATGAGCAAACATTCTCTTTGCAGCTCCTGCATGCTCCTCTTTCAAATTGTCTTTGTGCACGCCTATCTCACTTCTTCGTGGTCGAGATATTCCAGACTTAGTGGGTGTTTTGTCAGCTGGTCTCAGTGCCACCTTCTTTTCAGTATGCAATGACGCACTATCATTTAAATTACCGACTTTTGGTTTACGAGGATATGGGTTCTCTTTATGAGTTTTCATGCTTAAATGGATATTATTACATTGTTCCTTCTCTTGAATAGTCATATCATCAGTTTGCTCTCCATATTCTGTAGAATCCCTAGGACTGACCACTTGATTGGATGGATTGATTCTTCGTCCAAGAGCATGTGCAATCATACGACGAGCAACCACAGGAATGCTTCGGGGCTTCTGCTTCGTGGGTTCATTTGTGTCGCTATCATATCTTGTAAAGATGCGCTCACGGGCAGCCAGATAAGCTGCTTCTCTTTCCTCAAGTGAAGATTGAACAGTAGTTGTTTCTGCCTTGGACACTGAAACACATTAAAAATAAAAAGGCTCAGATTCCATGCAAGATAAATTATATTTGGTAGCCTTTATCCTAAGGTTATATTGGTGTTGAAACAAACAGAGCATATCCGAGTGACATAAAATCATTACATTTGATTGTGATGTTTGAACTTTGAAAGCCATAAGATGAGGCAGCAAAGTAGAATGTTGAATACATTCATTTTGGACAGATATAGGATTTGTTTTTTAAAAAATAAAACTATCTTCTTCGGTTGCAAAGAGAGAGAGTATTGTGAAGATCATATTTGAAGTGGCAATGGGAAGCAGTAGTGAACAGCCACAACAATTTAAACATGCAAGCCTCACAAGCAAAGGCTTTTATGAAGTGTACCCTTTCTGTCTCTCATGCCGTGGTGCTTTAGGTGTCAAATTCTTTGTAATACCCAAGGTTTTGGATGTATAATGACTCATTACAGATCTAGAAAATGCCTACAAAACTTAAAGAATGTGATTCTTTGCCTGTAATTATACTACTATTACGAAGAAAAAAAAGAGAGATTATGAAAGTAAACTAAAAGTTAAAATTCACCACATTAACTTAGTTGCCTTAAAATATGGGAAGCGTCTTCCTACATGAAAACAACAGTCTAGGCTAGAAAATACAGGATGAGGTGTCATGGTATATGCTATTTGCTAATGATATTGTCTTTGTGGACGAAACATGCCATATGATATATGCAACATAACAATCGTTTGCTAATGATATTGTCTTGGTGGATGGAGATTAGTTAAAGCACACAGTTTAGCTCATTGCAACAGACAATTTGTAATACCTAACTTCATGTAACTAGGTTATATAAAACAATTACAAATTCTCTCTCTCAATACCGTATTCTTCCTGCTATAGTGTCCAACTGCTGCTAACCACAGTAATTCAGATATAATGCATTCCTAACCTTTATAAATTTCCACCCAAAACCATCCACAAACAAAGTCAAAAAGCAATGGAGCACGATTTCACAGATTCCTCAATGCCAAAAATTCACAACTATGAATAACTCCTTCAACACCTGAGTGACACCATCTCAGATCCGCTAAGAACTATTGACAAATGTTAAGATAAGATCAGAATTTTCACTGCAATGGGACATAATTTTAAAAATATGTTGATAGATACAAAGAGATTCTAAAATGATACTGACTACTTCTCATATTAAGTCACAGTTGAGTCATTTCATCAAATTAAAAAAATTCTGAACATATGGGTACTAATCAAGAACTTAACATCTCATGTTATTTCGGGGGTGTTATATTTTTATACTAATAAATTATCCAATGGTCATCCAAAAGAAAGAAAAGCAGGTAGCAGTGAGCATAAATCATAATGTGCATTTGAGGCAAATACAAGTGGCCCAATGATCTAGATTTGCTTTATGGGGTGAAAAAAAAAAAAACAGTATTAACCTGGGGAAGCTTTGTTTCTCCTTAATATTTGATGTGATGTTGTCAGAGGCTGAAGTTCATCATAATGCCACAATAAATCACTGACAAGGACAGAAGGTCTGCAATTCAACAATGAAAAAATGAAGATTAGCAGGGAAAGGGGACAAGAAGAAAATTCTGTTGACACTGCCATCACCAAGTTACCTTAACTAAAATTCTATTGACACAACAATATTCAGTCTATGGCCTTCCTAAAATTTAGATTGAAGGCCAGACAGTAACCAAAACAAAGAAACCCTAAAGTTCAAAAGACCCATTCGAAAAAGATGAAGAATACAGGTCTTACTGAAAATTTTAAAAGCAGAGCTGGTTGAAGTAATAGTAGTAGCGAAATTAGTGTCGGTACATGTCAATCCTAATACAAGTGTGGGGCAATCACCTAACACTTGTCCTGAGATCCTAAATTTAAAAAGAAAAATAAATAAATAAAAACAAACAAAACGCCAATGGAAAAAATCAAATGACCATACAGACCACCAACATCTATATTACATTGACTCCTCTAAATTTGTGTACCCGTGTAGTGTCTGACACTCAATACTTGAATAAGGGTATAAGATGGAGCATGCCAGTCCACCTCCTATCAATGATACGCCTTATTTTCCAGCATTTAGCAGGAATTGTTCGTACGAATAATTACAATTATTGGTAAGGGCCTTTTTCACATAAAAAATGAAACTTTTGTCACAATAGAAGGAGAAGTAATGTGGATTACTCAAGAATCAAAGTCAATTTGCTTTATAGAAAGAAGACATCAATGAACCCCTATGAAACGGTTTCACAGGATTCAACCAATTGTCTTGCTTGTAGAATATCATTGAGAAATAGAAATCCATGTAAAACACATTACAAGTTTAACAAACTAGCTCAGATTCTAATAATAAAATAAAAACAACATAAATTTATACCTATTAATCCTCTCTCCGTTAACTTTAGAAATTACTCTTATGTTGGATTTTTTTTTATTGTCTTCGGATGAAGTATTCATATATATATGACTATAACTAATATGTAAAACTATATATTTGGGTGTGTTCCCCATGTGTCAATGCCCTAATTTTAAAAAAAAATTGATGTGTCGGTGCCCTTGTTTAGGTCAGTCATATTTTTATGGTCTATCATCTGGTATTAATGACAAAGTATTACAAAATAAATGACATCACATATTAATGGAGGGTTTTTTAATGGCGGGGAGCCAAACCACCATTCATCTTTCTCCACAACCCAAGCTAGCATTGATCTATTTGGGACGTTTTCTCTCAAGACCCAATGTTAAATAACATGAAGCATGTCAGGCTTAAGTCATTATTAATATTAACAAGTGTAATATGGACCTGTAGGTCCTGCATATGTGTGTATCCAAAGGATATGCAAATATGCTTTAAGCATAACATTCGCAAACATAATGCACAGACAGACAGGCTGCAAGTACTGAAAAAGTAACGTGAAGAATTCTATGCAGGCTAATGGATTCTCTTTTCACATACATCGATGTCTCTGGACAATGCTCCAAAATTAAATGCCGATCATCTCCTTCACCAACAGAATGATGGGAAAACCTAGAACAATAAAACAACCACAAGAATTCATCTTAAAAGACCATTAAGTAGGGAAGGAATGACATATTATACAATCAACATAAAATTTTCCCCAACAAAACACTGGATCAACACAAAAGATGGAAAAATAAATTATAAAAGAAAGGATAAAGACAAGTACCCAAAAATATCTGCAAGGCGATGCAAGAGAAGGCGGTTGTATGCATTCATAGGTTCCAGCTCCAGCACCCCATCTGAGCTGCAATACATCACCAGTCATTTCATACACTTTCCCCAACACATAACTTCAAGTCCGATTCTTAAAACTAGAAACATAGACAAAAATAACAACACGAACATCATGTAAAGGCAGATTGCTATAGATGACCAATTAGAACTAAAGGAATTGACCAATTAGAACTAAAGGAATTCTCCCTTCCACATATTAATTGAAGAAATTACAAATAACTATGGGTGGATGGCGTCATAAACATATGAAGGATGACATACATAAGGACTCCATTTTAAAAATAAATTACTAATGAATGACAAACTTAAATGGGTAAAACTTTTGATAAGATATAATGTGGATAGGAGAGGCCAAACGGAGGAAAAAAACATGTAAATGGCAATAATTCAACTGATTAACAGCTAGGTGAGGGCTGGCTAGTTGACAAGAGAGAGAATAAAAACACAACCAAACAGGCCCTAAATATTTGAGAGAGATTAGGCTCATATTTTGGCCATGTACAACAAAAAATTATAGATGCAACTGTAAGAAAGGGTGATATTAGAAATGTTAAGGAACGAGAAAGACCTAAATTGACATGGGATGTTGTAGGAAAAAAGACAATGAATTTATTTTATTTAACTGTGCATACAGTTCTTGACAGAGGAATTGCGAAAAAAGATTCATGTAGCTAACCCCACCTGAGTGAGACACAAAGCTTGGTTTGGTTATAGAGGCTTTGTTTTGAGAAAGAAAGGCCCAAGTGCTTTAAGTTTGTGTTGTTTTTATGTGAATTGGTTGGAAATAAATGCTGTGATTTTTTAGGACAAATTATAAAACAATATTTTGTCGTTTGTTTTCTTTTTGAGCTTCAGAATCATCTACTTTTTAAGGGTATCCCTTTGTTTTTGATTTATAGAGGCTGGCAAGTGGTGTGTGATATGTAATTGTCATTTCCTTTTTCTTTTTCCTTTTTTTTTTGTTGAACTTATTGTCCTCCGTTGTACCCTTTCGTACTTCTTCTATCACTTAATAAAATTTTATTATCCAAACAAACCAAAAAAAAAAAAAGTTTATTACACCACAGATGTCCTTGCATCCTAATGTGGCACAGTTGCATAATTCCGATAAGAAATGTATGAGTTTCTATTTATTAAATTGAATTGCCTAGTTAAACAAACAATTCAACTCAGTAGCAATATCACCATCAATCAAAAGACACCTTGGATCATCCTGAAGAAAATTTATAAAGGCTTCTTCCATAGAAAGAACAAGGTGCTTGCAAGGAAGATTGTCTTTAACAAGGAAAGCCAACTCCTCAACCTGCATTTTAATAACTTGATATTAATTAAAAAAGAAGCAAAAAGACTCAAAAAAATTATATAGACAAAATAATGCTTTTGGGGGGGTCTGTTTTTAATGGGTGAGGAAAGAGCCTTGTTAATAAAGGCATCAAAAAGAAATAGCTACAAAAGTGTTATTTAAATCACAAGCTTAAAAGATAGTATGTGAGGTTATTTGTAAGCAAAAACATCATATAATACTGCTTGGCATGAAATTTGTAGCATCTGGCAAGACAAATTATATTTCTTAAATGTAGAATTAGATGAGTACAACATCTCTGGCAGATGAAACACATTAATAACAAGCTCTAATAAACAGGTTGGAAGGGTTCAATTAATTTACAGCATAAAAATTGCCAACGAAATAAGCAGTATGCTGATAAGCACACTCAGAAATTTAGGACAAAAACAAGGCTATGATAAATAAATTACAAAATTAAATCATGTACTTTCGCAATTACAGATAAAATATGATTATGCCTGAAAAAATAAACTGTCTATAAAACCAACTGACTAATTTATAAAATGTCAAATAAAACTATGACAATTATATCAAGAAAAACACGAAACAATAAATGTAAAACGTATATTAAAATGAGGCACCAATGGAAGTAATATGCATCCAAGGCAAGATGGAAGCCAAAAAAAAAAAAAACAGTAAACAACTGGCATGTAACATTGAACCAATCCAACAGTCACCAGCAAACAACACCACCATTACAGCCAAAGACATCCAGGCCAAGAGAGAACAATCTGCAACATATAGTTTTCACAGAAGACCTTGTTGAGATGTGCTTAAAAATTCACATTTTTCTTGAATTTTACAAATGTTTCAATTTCTCTAGATTTTTAGTCGATCCCAACACAATTAACATTTCAAAAAAAAATCAATTTCAATAGATTATTTGTCCTATGTCAAATTACTTTTCTCTTAGGGTACCTCATCAGATACCAATTCAAGTTCTACCTAGATTGCTTAGTTCAATATCCATGAAAAATTTACTAATGGAAAAATCAATATTCAACTTTCTTTCAAGACATGCATCAACCCCCCAAAGAAAACTGACAACTCCAACCTTATCGGGCTCTCATCAATGTCAAAAGTACTTCAATAACTAATCTATTCACTACAATACTTTTATGTTCTGTTTGGTTGGGGATTTGGGAAACACAGCTTTAGTGATGCCTTACAGTATTCAATTTGGGAATTCAAATCAAGTCCATAACACACTGTACTAAAGATTCCACTTTCCCAGCAAACAAAACCTAATTCTTGCAACTAAAGATGAGTTTTTTTCCCCCAATCATTCCTTTCCCTCCTATAGTTCTTATTTTAAAATAGTTTTGTCCAACCCAGATAGATGCATAAAATTTCAACAGAGCATTCAGATTGAGAAATTTGATTCACAGATTAGGTTGCCCAAACAAGACCTAATTTGTGATTTTTTTATTTATTATTATTTATACTTGCGAACAATGAGGGATTCAAACCCTAATTTCACAAAGCGAGATCCATAAAAAGATAAAATTCGAATTTGAGAAGCAAAGTACAGTTTGTTATACGCATACACAGAGAGAATCGAAGATTAAAATAGGATTACCATTGCGAATTGCGTGAGACTCATTCTGAGAAGTCCAAGTCCAAGTCGAAGGGAACTAAACTGTGTAGCGTAGAGAGAGAAAGAACTCTACGGTGTTGCAATACCAAGTCAAACGTCCACACATATTGCTCTGCTTATCTGTAAGATTTTGGAGTCTAATTTGTTCTTAACGTACTCTTCAAGTAAAAAGTACTGTAATAAAAATAATAAAAAGAAAAGTCTAACAAAATATAATTTTAATTTTACTAATTTAAATTATAATATTTTAATTTTTAATTTAAATTATATTTTTATTTTTGTAAAATAAAACTGAAGAAAAAAAATTATATTTTAATTATTAAGTTCAATGTATATATATATAAAATGTCTAAAATATCATTTTCATTGAGTTTAATGACTAAAATGGATTACCATTGCGAATTGCGTGAGACTCATTCTGAGAAGTCCAAGTCTAAGTCGAAGGGAACTAAACTGTGTAGCGTAGAGAGAGAAAAAACTCTACGTTGTTGGAATACCAAGTCAAAGGTCCACATATATTGTTCTGATTATCTGCAAGATTTTGGATTCTAATTTGTTCTTAACGTACTCTTCAAGTAAAAAGTACTGTAATAAAAATAATAAAAAGAAAAGTCTAACAAAATATAATTTTAATTTTACTAATTTAAATTATAATTTTTTAATTTTTAATTTAAATTATATTTTTATTTTTGTAAAATAAAACTGAAGAAAAAAAATTATATTTTAATTATTAAGTTCAATGCAAATTTATGAAAAATATCTAAAATATATTTTTTTATTGAATTTAACAATTAAAATATTTTTTTTACTATAAGTTTTACTTAACAAAAATATGTGAATGGTTTAAAACTAAATCAAAAAAATTAGAGTTTAAATTAATAAAATTAAAAACCTCTAATATTTATTTATTTTTATTTTGTGGGTACATGATAAGTTCTCAGGGTTCGTTTGGGAAGTGGATTATTTTTTTGTCTTTTTGGGTTTTTGGTTATTTTACTCTGGGGTTAAAAAGTCTCGTTTATGAAAGACGTTTTAGCTTTTTTGAATTTTTGTGAGAGAAATAATGTAATGATTATGGGTTTGATTGAGACCCCCTCCAATCACCACCCCCACCACCCCCACACACGTGGCGGGTGGTGATTGGAGGAGAAGGAAAATAAAAAATAAAATAAAATAATTGACCAATCATGTTGAGAGGGGGTCAAGGAGATGGGAGAAAACGGGGTACGGGTCATTATTGTTTTGTCTTATTAAGTTAAAAATTTATTTTGTCTTATTGTGACTAAAATAACCCCAAACCCACCCAATCCATTCTTTCCAAACGAAACTTAGGGCTGATTTGGCACCATCAACAAAATTTAAAAAGTCAAAAAGTTACTAAAAAAGCAAAAAAATTCATACTATTTACCTCTTTTTTTGGTGGGTAATTTGTCAATTGAAAAAAAAAAAAACCAAAGCAGCCCTGTCGTAAAAATAGAGGCACACATGCCGTAAAACAGGTTGCAATTTATCAATTGACTACGTGGCACACTTGTAGCCACCCATGCCATAAAAAAAAATATAAATAAATAAAAAATTGAAAAGAGACAGAAAGTGCATTGCGCAGTACTGCTGCTTGTGTCAGCAAGGCAATTTCGTAATTTTATAATTTTATACAATATTTTAATACACATTTTTTCGTAAAAAGTCAAAAAGTTAATCCAAACATCTATATTTTTTTCTCTACTTTTTAGTCTAAAAAGATAAAAAGTACACTTATTTAGAACACTCCAAACAACCCCTTAATAGGATAGTAAGTTGCACACTTAAGAAAAGTCTTAAGTTATATTATAACAAAATTGCCGCAATTGCTCTATCCATTCAAATCCTGAAGCTCTAACTTTTTTACTGTGTCAAAAGACAACTAAATGGATAACTGGATCAATTGCTTTGTCCCAAGATTCATTTTGTTACAAAATTTAAACTTTTTTTTAAGTAATGTTTTCTAAAATTAATTTGTAAGTTTTTTTTTTTCTTTATAAATTTTTTACTTAAACTCATTTTAGAAAATACAAATACAGTGTAAGTGTCCTTCCTTAGAATAATTTCTCATACAATCTTACTTTCTAAACCCAATGATATGTAAGAGAGATGAATGATTAATAATTAAAGAAAATATGAGAAATAAAATTGAAATTTATCTTAAATATTCTAATTGATTACCACATCATTAGCTTTGAACGTTTGGTCTAACTTTTAGATTCGAATGGCAATGATCATATATTAATAGAAAATTGTGATTTGCTCACCTGTGAATAAAATTATTTTTGTCCAACTATAATATAAAATTAAGAGTCCGAATTTGCTGAAGTTGAAGACCATTATGAGATTAATTTGGACCAACTTGTTAATCTCATACAACTAATAAAAAAAATTATTCATGAAAAAAATTAAGTCGATCTAACGTCTATTTGTTATAAAATATATGTGAAAAATTGTCATCTAGCATAAAATTATATATGCAAAAAAATTAAGTTGCTAAAGTTGAAGACTATTGTGAGACCAATTTGAATCAGTGTCAATGAGATGAACGGTTATAATCACTGACACGGGTACAAATTAATCTTACAATGCGCCAACTTTACTTATGAAATTGAGATCTTCAACTTTAATAATTCTGAACTCCAAAACTAGTGTATTTTGTAAAATTTGTTTTCCAAAACATATTAAAAACTAATTTGTTAAAAAAATAATGAAAAATTCAAAAATATTCTTCATTATTGTTTTCCCTATTTGTTTTGTGCAAAAATATTTTTTAAAATTGAAAATTATCATTTTAAATGCTAATGTTACTAATTTTTAGATATTTTAGAAACTAAATTAAAAAGTGACATTTGTATGGTCATATAGGGTGGTAACTAGGATATTACAATATTGAGTAATGTTGGTTGTATTATGTGGTAAACTACGTTAGTCAGTAATAAGTATAGCTTCAATTGTAAGGCGAAAAAATTATCTGTATTCCAAAAGATGCATTTTACATAAAGGTCCTAGTAACATTTTATACACATTTATTGAAATTCAAATAATATCAAAGTCCTAGTAACATTTTATATATAGGATTCTGGTAACAATCGTTCATAACACATTTATTAAAATTCAAATAATATCAAAAAAGTTATAATTTAATATACATTTTATATATTTTTATAGGTTTTATTATAATTCTACACATATTTTATATATTTAAATACACTTTATGGATAAATCAACATTAATCACCATCCTCCAACGAACAAGAACGGTGCAAAAGTGGCAAAGAAATATAATTATGCCATGTGATTCATATTGGTACGTTGTGCAAGAAGATGAAAAAAGTCTTAAAGACATTATATTTTATTGGAACAATTAGTTTAAGGTCGCTCTCTCATTTTTAGTAATAGAATAGATTCATAATATTATTTTTTGATATCTAAAGTTCCTCAACCCATACACATTTATCACAGAGAAATTTGATATTAAGAAAGTATTTCCCAATTTCTATATACTGGGAATCAATCAACCATAAAAAAAGCAGAGTGAAGTTGGTCTGATCTAATTTGATCATCGGAGGTAGGAGAGAGACGAGTGGCATCGTTATCGAGCAGCACACTAACATTCAAGCTCCACCCACTCATAATCCTCAACATCTCCGATCACTACACTCGTCTTAACTCCCAATCATAACCGCCTCACGCCGCTGCCAATGGTGGCGAAGCAACCACTTCGCCTCCCCTGCCGAGGGTCTTCTAGAGGGGACGCACGGTCGAGATCTTCAACAGCTTCGAGCTCCTCTCCGATCCCTCCACCCATTTTCTCGATCAACTTTTCCTCGAGAAAAAGCAAGAACTTTATAAGAAAGCATTTCCTAATTTCTATATCTTAGGATGGTATTCAACTGGAAGTGAAGCCCAAGAAGCAGATATGTAGATAAACAAAGCTTTGATGGATATTAATGAAAGCCCGTGTATGTTCTTCTCAACCCTTCTTTGCCTTTCGTAGAGAAATTCTGGGAATTTCTCAGAGAAATTTTCCAGAGAATTTCTCTGGGAATTTTCCAGAGAAAATTGAAATTTCTCTGGGAACCAAAGAAATCTAGAGAGAATCTAGTCGAAAGAAACTAGAGAATGAATCTGAATTCAGTGTGAGCTATGAAACTTATGTACAGTTGGTATAGATCTTTGATAATGGTCTTTGATAATTGCAAGCTCCTCACTGCCTGGTAAGCCCATACAACCTTGTTGTCTTCAATTTTTTGTCTCATCTCAATCCATACAACCTGCTCCTCTTCTTCTTGTTCAATTCTCTATCTCTCATACAAATCCACAAAAGTATATACAAAGCAGCTAGCATACCAATAGAGATACCTTTGACCCCAATCTATGTGCTTGCAATGTTATACTGGGTATATAACTTACAAATTGATCCAACCAAAATTAGCTAGCATGGAGATTATCAAATATACTAAAATGCTTTGAAAGTCAAATGCATTCTACAATGACGTCTTTAATTTTACATTTTTTACAAAATAACAGAGAATACCTTACTGAAGCATTTATTGGCAATAGAGAGATTTTCTCTGCTTAAAGATAATAGATCAATCATTGGGGGATCACCCTTAAGCAGACAAGAATCAACTTAAGAGTATAGTTGGCTTATTAAATAGAACTACAAATAGTAAGTTAGTCCTTCTACTTCACTGTAGAAGTGGATTTCACCTTAATGTTTGAGGGAGATGCTGATTTTAGTGACTCACATTGGCAGCAAATTGTGTAAAGAAAATTTGTGTGACTTTGTGTGGCTCTATCCAGAGAAAATTGTGTTAGAGAAAATTTGTGTGACTCTATCCAGAGAAAACTATGTTAGAGAAAATTTGTGTAACTTTATCCAGAGAAAATTGTGTAGAAAAAATTTGTATTTTTGATCAAACCAGAAAAAATTAAAGAAAAGACAAAATCAATTTTCTCTGGTTGTTCAATTTACTCTGGATTGAAATTTTCTCTAGTTTTTCAATTTTCTTTAGATTGAACTTTTCTCCGATTGTTCAATTTTCTCTGGATTGAGATGTTCAATCCATGTTTATGCACTAGTGTTTGATTATTTTTCTGCAATCCCTCTCTCCTCATACCCACCAAATTTTTCTGGTTTAAACCAGAGAAATTCTCTGGTATGGATTGAATTTCTTTGGTTTGGAAATCTATAGTTTGTTTGTGTATATTTCTTGGTTTCAATGCTTACCAACCATGATGTGCAATGGTTTGGTTTTGAGTAAATTTTAAGCTCATCATGAGATTACAGAGTTTGCAATATATGTTAAAAGAGTTTGAATCCAGTGAAATTTCAATCTTCTCTACCCTGTTTGAAATTTTCTCTATGATGTGTTCAGAGAAATTCTCTAGATCGAATTTTCTTTGGATCGAAGTTAAGGGACTTTAAACATTATGAAAATATTGAGTGTCCTTTATGCTATAAAATCTTAATATTAGGGACCTTAAAAAAAAAATCCCCTACTTTATTTGGATAGAGATATGCAAAATAAAAGAGGTACGGAGAACAAATTTAAATTATACTTTATTCATATCTTTCAAACCGATGTCAGAAGATTGTTTATTCCCATTCCCAACCACGAAAAAATTGTTACATGAAATATACCAATAATGAACATGAGATGAAATAGAAACTAATTAATTCACACAACGTAAATTTCCCCTTTTTCATTCACCTTACAATTTACAACTATGTTTTCAATAAATTTGGACAGTGACCCTTGTAAATGTTCTTGATATTCTTGATTCACAATCAGCTCAGTTTGGTTCGAATCCCAACCACCATTTACTATCTTAAACCTGTCAAACGGTGTTGTTGGCTTCGATTTTCTCTTTTGCCCATTGTTTGTGTTTTTTTCTGCACTATTCTTTCTAGATGGACTAAGGTTCATACCATGAATTGAACGTGTCAGTTGTGAAAGATTGTCATCTAGCATTTGGTACCACAGTTCATCTGTGTCGTAACCATCCAACCTTTGTTTTGGATAAACAGCTCTTGATTGTCTGCGATGAGAAGCTGTATAAGTTGGCATGTCTCCTTCCAATATTTTCAACACCTGCATTATAAGCACCAATAGCTGAAAATAAAACCCAAATGTGAAGGAAAAAAAAAAAAACAAAACAAAACAAACACTATTGGCAGAGATTATGTGAATAAAGAACCTCTGATATCCTGGGTCTTCGCTTGGGGTGAGGTGATATGCATAATATGGCAGCTTGGAACATGCACTCTACTTCCTTCTTGACGTAATTATTCTCCAGTCGGGTATCAATTATCTCATTGTATATCTTCTTCTCTAGTAATGAAGAGCCCTGCCACAATTGATAGCAATATTTTATTTTTCCTGCTTTTATAATTTTTTACTTCAATTATTTTAACAGTATTTAATTCAAACTCAATGGTCATGTTATTTAAATCGAGAAGGTGTGCCTATTACCATTCAATAGATTAGAATTTCACAACAAAAGATGTTTAGATTAAAACAAAAGTTGTCCATACTGTTTTTTGGTTGATAATACTTGATAATCACACTAATATGAGTATAGTGTTTGCCTCATAAGCTGCTGGCATTTGTCATTAGGTGAGTAAGTTCTTGTTGACAGCCTCGCCCCAGTTTTGTTTGTGGATTTTCTCTATGTTTAATAAAGTTTGAATTACTAAAAAAATTTGTCGATACTTGATACCCTGAATAAAATTAATGAATTATTTCGATCATTGAAATAAAAACTTTGATCTTCTAACCCGCTTTCTTATAAAAAATTGAGGATCAAATACAGGTGCGACAATAGTCATATTTGTTATAAAGGGGGTATGAACACATCTATAAATTCAGAACCACCCTAGTCATTTGGTACTTCATATCAGATCAGTTTTCTCTATCTCCATTCTCTGTGATTTTTTTCTGTGTTTACATACATCACACAGTTTTTATATTTAATATACTTCTAAGCTCAACGTGTCTCTCGATCTCCCTTGATTTACTGAGAAATCAAATTCTAATGAATTTCTCATAACATGACCTACTAGATCTCCCCCATGTTTTTCTTGTTTATTCCTTTCCAACTTTTCAATAGCATTACTTTTTTGTGGTATTGTTATTATTTTTGGGGTGTCATTGATGAAAAACAGGAGATTTGAGTAGGTATATCCAAGTTTGGGAGAGAGAAGTCATCTCAGTAGCAGGTTTCTTCGGACATTTTCTAAAAGCCCTAAAAAAATGCTCTCCATGTATAAATAGCAGCAGCCTGTCCATATACATTGTATATAGTTGCAAATATAAGATAAACAAATATCTATGTTTATAAAAATTGAAAAGATACATGCCTGTTCCTGTAAATGCTTACGAGAAAATTTGGTTGCTTCAATGCCAGTTAAGAGCTCCAACAAAACTACTCCAAATGCGTATACGTCAGCCTTCTCTGTTATCATACCCATCTCTGTATACTCGGGAGCCAGGTACCTACAAAACTATGATTGTCAAATATCAATCAATTCAATATATACTTTAATAACAGGGAATAATTATAGTTACTCAGACACAAACACGCTCTGGACAAGTGTAGGACTGGGGAAATTGGTGTCCAATTTTTTACACACACACACACATCATAATAGCATACCTAAGGTTGATGAATTTGATGAGAAAGCATTTAATATAGAATAAATATATAAAATTATATATATTGCACATGTTCTTGCATGCTGCGTTCTGTACTTTTTTAAAAATTTATGTGTTAGAGTTGTGTCAAGTGTTCGCGCTTCTTAGACGAGTGCCAATTATATAGTCAACAAAAACAAATAATTTGTAACAATTAAAAACTTCACAAACAGAAATTAACAGAAGGAAGCTGCAACCAAATTTCAACCAAATAAGCACGCGCACACACACACAGAAAATCAGTTAAAATTGCATGTTGTGTTCTGTACTTTTTAAAAATTTATGTGTCAGAGTTGTGTCAAGTGTTCGTGCTTCTTAGACGAGTGCCAATTATATAGTCAACAAAAACAAATAATTTGTAACAATTAAAAACTTCACAAACAGAAATTAACAGGAGGAAGCTGCAACCAAATTTCAACCAAATAAGCGCGAGCGCACACACACACACAGAAAATCAGTTAAAATCTTAGATATAATATATTTTCTAAGAGTCTTTTATAGTTTCTAAATTCCAGGTTTATGATTGAACAAGAATGATCTCCCATCATGAGATGAATATGTTAATACCCGAATGCGCCAATGACACGTGTCTCCTCAGCTGATTGTCCATCTACTTGCCACCTAGCTAGGCCAAAATCTCCCACCTACAATTGGTTCAGCAATTGTGTTTTCATACATAATCTGTACAGATTCTAACTTTTCAAAAAATTCGTATAATTGCTAGTAACAAAAATAATCACAAAAGGTTGTCACAAAAGGTTGACCATGGGTTCAAAGTCATGGGTTAGGAGAACGTTGTTAGGTCTGAAGTCTCTGTGCACGATACAACCGACTCTACAATCTTCATGAAGATATCTCAAACCTCTTGCAGCACCCACTGCAACCTTCATCCTATTGTGCCATGCCATCACCTCATTCGTCTCCTTTCCTCCTGCAAAATTAACTAATTCACCACTTTTTCTTTTATTTTTTCAATGAATTAAAATATATATATATATATATATATAAAGTAATAATAATCTACTAATCTCTCACTAGGATTGCAAATGAACCAAATCAACCCAAGCTTTGCAAGGCTCGAGCCTATCTCATTTGTTTATCAAGCTCGTTTGTTTATTGAGCTCAGAAATCCAACTTGAGTTCAATTCAGCTTGTTAATTGCTAATTAAACTCAAGCTCAGCTCAGCTCGAAACTTGATAATGAATTTTTTTGGTTATTATTTACATTATTTAAATAAATATAAATAATATATATATGCTCTATTATTTATACACATTTTTTCATTATTTAATAATATATTAGCCTATTATTTAAATAAACAATAAAGGTGGTTGAGCTTATTTGAGCTTGAACTTCAGCTTGAGTTCAACTTGTTTATTAAACAAGCCTAAAAGTCTGATTTAAGTTTATTTATTTACTTTACGAACCAAGCCAAGCCCTCAGCGAGCTGAGCTCATGAACAGTTTGATTCATTTGCAACCATATCTCTCACCATATAGGTGCTTGTCCAAGGAACCATTGCAAGCAAACTCGTAGACAAGGAGCCACTCTGTTTGAATGCAGTAGCCCACCAACATCACTAAATTCTTGTGTTGCGAGCAGCTCAATACTTCAACCTCAGAGCAAAATTCAGATGCTCCTTGAGCGCTTAACATTTTATGCTGCTTCACAGCGACAACTAGACCATCGGGTAGGACCCCTCTGTATACAGGGCCATAACCACCCTCAGCCAAGAAGTTGTCGGCCGAGAATCCATTAGTGGCTCTTTCCATTTCTTCATAACTAAACCTTCGTGGGGCCTTCCCAAAAATGGGGGCGTTGTGCTTGCAAATGGAACAAAGTGGTGGAGGGGTCGGTGGCTGTTTGATGGAAAGAGAAATGGCCCTTCTAACGCTTGAAACTCGGTCAATCTTTGGAGGAAATGGAACTGCATCATTTGCTTTACTACTCGTGGATTCTCTTCTTTTACTCGGTTGGCCCAAATGATTTGGATACTTCAACTTTTGAGACGAGTTTGGAGAATCGGATGATCTTGGAGGCGGAAATGATGCAGAAGAAGACTCCATTTCTTTGACTCTATTATTACTTCTATGCACATCTGTTTCATTTCAATCAATCATCAGTTAGTGTTTTCATTTTATTTTTTTTTTCAGTGCAAGGAACAAAAGGCATAGAAGCAATTCCTTACCACTTCTAGTCTTCAAAACACTGCTGTAGCTTCTGGTTTTCTTGTCAATGGCACTGTCTTCAATGTTAAAGTCCGAGACCTTACTCAACAGTTGTGATTTGCTGCTATATAAGGGAATAGAAGAACTATATGCTGCTTCATCGGTTTGTTCTGCTTTGTGGTCCGAAAAGTGGGAATTTAAATGGGGCTTGGGTGGTTTGAATTTGGTGACGGGGCTGGACTTTTTAATTTGATCTTTGTGTATGCTTGATGAGTTGGGAGGGGATTCGATGTCGAACTTTGAGACCTTACTCAACGGTTGTGATTTGCTGCTATGCAATGGGATAAAATAACTATATGCTGCTTCATCAGTTTGTTCTGCTTGGTAGCCCCAAAAGTGGGAATTTAAATCGGGAGAGGTTTTGGGTGGTTCGAATTTGGTGACGCGGCTGGACTTTTTAAAATGATCTTTGTGAATGCTCGACTTTGGATGGGATTTGATGTCAAATTTTGAGACCCTACTCAAGGGTTGTGATTTGCTGCTATACAAGGGAATAGAAGATCTATATGCTGCTTGATCAGTTTGTTTTGCATCGTGGTCCGAAAAGTGGGAATTTAAATGGGGAGAGGTATTGGGTGGTTCGAATTTAGTGACGGGGCTGGACTTTTCAAACTGATCTTTGTGTATGCTCGATGATAAGAAGAGTGGAATTTGAGTGCTTTGAGTATGAGCAATGTTATTAGCTGACCTGAGAATATTTGGAATCGCATGATCTACGAGTATGACATTGCAAGTCAATTGTTTCACGCAACAATCTGCTTCCTTCTTCAAGCGTCTGTAGTTTGCAGAAAATTAATTGGTCATACATAGGACCCTAATCAGTTGAATAATACAACAAATACATGGAATTCACCTTTCTTTCTTATCTTTTTTCTTTTTTATGTCATTATGATCGCTTCGATGATTTTTTAAAATTTTTTGGAGTGTGTGTGTTTGTCCACATTTATAGATTAGTAAAATTTGGGAGCACCAAAAAAAGAATAGAAAAGAAAAAAGCTACATATATGTTCTTATTTATTGGTTAGAGGAGGAGAAAAAAGAAAAAGAAAAAGGAAAATGAACCAAAGGAACAAAATTATTGAGCCTGAGATGTCATGATGTTGTAGGTTTGCAGTATCTCAATAGTTTGATTGCTTGTTTTATGCCCTCCACCAAGAAAATAAAGAGAAATATGTAAGTATCAAGTATATCTATATATCTATTCCGTTATATAAAGCACAACTCAAAACAGTTTGAACTCTTTGTCATATTTCTTTTTAAAGAATGCCGTTAAATGCCCCAGTAAATAACGGTTAACAATTTTCAAATTCAACCCATCTTTCTCATTCATCAAATCATAAAAAATGCAGATGTAAAACTGCAAACACATTGCATTCGCACTGACCACTAGTATATATGTATATTTATGTATGTGGTTAATAGTTGTTGGAGGAAGCATAGCATACAATTGGTCAATTGCTGGAAATTACTGATGCATGAACTTAAGCAATTCTTGGCATCGGGCATGGCGTTTGGTTCATGAAATATCACAAATTTCATATTCTGATATTTAAGATTGTGTTTTTTTGTATGTTAAAATTTGGAATTTTATGATTAGGATTAGTTTCAGTTGGATCGTCTATGTAGAGTTCATAGTGAATTAATCATAAACTTCCAAGTAAAGAGCAGAGCAGGTGCAGTATAAAATGTATTAATTGTAATGTATGTACCGATCAAGGATGACCCACATTGCTCCAAGCTCTTGAGCCACCATTGCAATAGATCCCATCTGTGCATCAGCTACAACTTTGACTTCAGCACGAACCTGTGACCATGGAATTGGGATTCATCATTAGAACTGCAACGCAAGAGTCCTTGATGATCGTGAGAAGTACTAGCAAAAGGTTTAAGGGTAGGCCCCAGTAATTCTAACTGGATTATCGTGTCAATTTAGTCTGATTCATGACTGTTGGAGGTAATTTTGCACAACCATGTTGTTCAACCGAGCAGGACTTGTGGTCAAGTGTTCGAACAAGGTGTCCAGTCAACCATGTAGGTCGGACCGCAAAGTCCAAGCAAGGGGTGGACCAAGTCAAGGATGAGTACACAATGAGTGGGTTTATACTTATTGCAGCCAGAAAAATCACTAGACAGTGGACACAATCCCTCTCAGGGCGGCACAGCGTGGGCAAGTGGTGGCACAAAACTTTCAATAGTCAGTTTAGGAAGTATAAGAAGGCTTCTTAGCCTTCAGTTCAAAGTATGTAATCATTAAGGACAAAATGATACATTCAAAAGGAATGTGGACCATTTCAAATTGGCTTTCAATCAAACACCTCAAGGGAGCTTCTACTTACACACAGAATGACCCACACTTTGAGGAGAGTGAATGCTTTTATTATCCCTTAGCTCCAATTAAATTGCTAAAGAGAGGCACTATCAATTGGACTAAATTTGCAGAAAGTGAAAAATTCAACAATAAAACTACAGCAATTAGAACTATAATAACCAAATTAACACAAGGAAACAAGAAGCAAACTACATGTAATTGGGGTGCAATTTGCCTTTGATGAATGTAACCATAAGTAAGTACCTGGTGCAGCATTGGGTTGGGCAGAGAAAGTAGTTGCTGCTGCATCATCTGTGCACACACCTTGTTTATTCTCTTGGTGTGATTGTGGGTGTTGGGCACATCATCATCATCATCATCATTGTTATCACCAGTAGCAACAACAACAACAGAGTCAGATCCTACTAAATTATTACAATCTTCATCAGATGAACCACCCTGCTCATGATTCCTTGTTTTCTTCTCCTTCTTGTTGAACAGACCTAGAAATTGAATCCATGATCAACAATTATTATTATCCAGGACAAATTACACCGCTTGGCCTACATTTCACCTCAATTTACTCAACAATTTGGTACAATTAATAATACCAATGCTCTATTTGGTCCCTCACGAGATGATCAATGATGATTTCCAATGTATTTTTCACTATTTTTTTAAACAATCAAACATTGGGAATATATATTAAATATTTGAATAGAATGGCCATTTTATTTCCTTCAATTCTAGTGAATCAAACACTAAAGAATTAGCGGTCATAATCAGGCTTCCTTTGACATATGTCTTTTTTAGCCTAAAAATTGAATAATTACTAAACAAAATCTAAAAGTCTATAAATTATATTAAAAAGTCAAAAATTCTTTTTTCGCACTACTTTTGTCTATCTTTTCATAAAAAATTAAAAAATCATTCTAAATCTATTAATTTTCTTACCTCGTATTTTAATCAAAAAAATCAAAAAGTCATTAAAATAACTGTTTCCAAATGAGAAACTAAATCAAAATAAAAATAAAATAAAATAATTTAAGATTAAAATCAAGCTAGTTAAAATTATAATAATTAAAATAACATAAAGAGTTCACAAGTAGATTTATTCAAAGAAAAAATTAAGAAAGGTAGTTACCAGAGAGGAATTGGTAGAGAGTAGAGTGGTAATTATTGGTTTGATGATTGGAAGATGGTGGTAGTGGATTTGAAAGTGGAAGAATAGCGAGGAGTAGGATTAAGAAATCAATGGAGGGGGATTTGATGACATTTCGAAACGCCCATTCAAGAGCATAATCTGTCATCTCTTTACTTGCATCAACTGCCACTACTATTATCACCTCCTCCTCACCACCGCCTCTCATGAATTATTTTCCTTCCAATGTATGTGTATGTAATGTAATGGATCTCTAAAACTGGAAGGTTTTTATGTCATTAAAAAGAGTCTGCAGGCTAGCAACTTCTAAATGTACACTCATAATTTTTTATTTAAAATAATAAACCCACTTTAAAGTGTTGAGTTTGTTATGGTTTTTCTTTTTCGGCCTGGCTTTTTGGTCCAGTCCATCATCAGACTGGATCGTACTGTTGAGTTTGTGAAGGCATATTACGGGTTTCGTTTTAAAAATCTGAACCGTTCAATGTGTAGAACTCGTTGAGTACTATATGCCTGTGAAAAATCACGTTGATCGGATATCGATAGCTATGTGATCAAACCAGTTTTTTATCAACCGTTAATTTATTCACCGTTCATTTTTTTTTATACAAAACTAATTTCATCACATAGCTATCGATATCCGATCAACGTGATTTTTCATAGGTATATAGTAATCGACGAGTTCTACACATTGCACGATTCAAATTTTCAAAACGGGACCCGTGGTGAACCCCACAATCCCAACAACACGATCCAATCCAATGACGGACTGAACCAAAGCCAAACCCTTTCTTTTTCATTATGACACCTATACAAACTCCAAATAATTTATCAAAATTTCTACTACACTTCTCGTATAGGTGTGAGACTCCCTCCCTAACATAACTCATAAATTATATTAAAATCATATATTTTATATAAAAGTGTGCATTCAAAAATATAAGATATTTTTTTATCCGTCTTGCATCTTAATCATTATAAATAATTATTAATTTCTCAATATTACGTAGTTAAGATAAATGGAATATTTATATCACATCATTCAATAGTAATGTAACTCTATTTTAATTTCAAGTTAACAAAACAAAAACAAAAAAAACCAATATAACCATTAACGTCGTTGTTCCCAACAATTAAATGATATAATCGAAATACTTTTTTTTTTAAGTTCACACACTAAATAATTCAAATTTTTTTATTTTATTTTAAGCGTCTTGCTAAAATATTTGTTTATCTTAATTCAAAATATTTAAAGAATATAATACACTTTTCAATAATTTAAATGTATTTTTATTAAAATTAATATTTTTTTAATATTTTACATATTTTTAAGAGACCTTTTACATACTCTTTAATATTAAACAATGCTCATAGAACACGTGTTATCATTTGCGTTATTTTATACGAGTCCGGATTCTTGGTCGCCCTTCTCGGCGGCCCTTTCCTGCAGCCCTCCAAATGACGTCGTTTTTGGGCAAATTTTTCAAAAAAAAAAAACACAGAGGAAGAGGGAGGAAGGAGAGGAAGAGGGAGGAAGGAGGAGGGAGGAAGGAGGAGGAGGAGGAGGAGGAGGAGGCGGAGGGAGGGGGGCCATAAATACAGGGAGGAGGTGGAGACGGGTCGGAAGGCAGAGGCGACGGCGGTCGCAGGTGTTTCGACTGCTGCGACCTGCGACGAAGTGGATCAAATCTAAGAGAGAAGGTGAGCAGGGTGAGAGAGAAGTCGGACCTTAGGGTTTGGAATCTAAAAAGAGGATGAAAAACTGATTAAAATAGCTATCGATATCCGATCAACGTGATTTTTCATAGGTATATAGTAATCGACGAGTTCTACACATTGCACGATTCAAATTTTCAAAACGGGACCGTGGTGAACCCCACAATCCCAACAACACGATCCAATCCAATGACGGACTGAACCAAAGCCAAACCCTTTCTTTTTCATTATGAACACTATACAAACTCCAAATAATTTATCAAAATTTCTACTACACTTCTCGTATAGGTGTGAGACTCCCTCCCTAACATAACTCATAAATTATATTAAAATCATATATTTTATATAAAAGTGTGCATTCAAAAATATAAGATATTTTTTTATCCGTCTTGCATCTTAATCATTATAAATAATTATTAATTTCTCAATATATACGTAGTTAAGATAAATGGAATATTTATATCACATCATTCAATAGTAATGTAACTCTATTTAAATTTCAAGTTACAAAACAAAAACAAAAAAAACCAATATAACCATTAACGTCGTTGTTCCCAACAATTAAATGATATAATCGAAATACTTTTTTTTTTAAGTTCACACACTAAATAATTCAAATTTTTTTATTATTTTAAGCGTCTTGCTAAAATATTTGTTTATCTTAATTCAAATATTTAAAGAATATAATACACTTTTCAATAATTTAAATGTATTTTTTTAAATTAAATTATATTTTTTTAATATTTTACATATTTTTAAGAGACCTTTTACATACTCTTTAATATTAAACAATGCTCATAGAACACGTGTATCATTTGCGTTATTTTATACGAGTCCGATTCTTGGTCGCCCTTCTCGGCGACCCTTTCCTGCAGCCCCTCAAATGACGTCGTTTTGGGACAAATTTTTCAAAAAAAAAAAAATCACAGAGGAAGAGGAGGAAGAGGGAGGAAGGAGGAGCGAGGAGGAGGAGGAGGAAGGGAAGTACCAGACTGGAGGGGGCCATAATCACAGGGGGAGGAGGAGGAGGAGGACGCGGAGGCGGGGCCAAAGGCGGAGGCGACGGTGGTCGCAGCTGCTGCAACGAGCTAGAGCTGCTGCGACGGCGGGCGGCAAGGGACGAACTGCGACGGTGGGCGGCGAGGGATGAGCTGCGACGGCGAGCTCGCAGCCTCCTTCTCCTCCCTCCTCCTTCCTCCCTCTTCCTCTCCTTCCTCTGCGTTTTTTTTTTTTTGAAAATTTGCCCCCAAAACGACGTCGTTTTGGGGGCTGCAGGAAAGGGCTGCCGAGAAGGGCGGCCGAGGATCCGAATTCATTTTATACACCTTCAAAATTTTAAATACACTCTATATTTCAAATCCTAACTCCACCATGCAGCAACCGTCACTCCTGACGTGACTGGAAAGCATAAACTGTTTATAATTTATTTTAACTTGAAAGTCCATGTATGATTGTTGAATATAATTTTTACTTAAAATTTATTAAACAAAAAGTAACTTAAATAAATTTTAAAAATTTAACGATTCAAAAATTAAGGCTTCGTTTGGTAAGCCTCTCAAATTATAGTTTCACTCATTAATTTGAGTGTAGTGTTTGTTTTTAACTTTTAAATCATAATTCTACACCCATTTCTGAAAACTCAATTCAAAACATAATCATTACTTTTCAAAACTCATAACAAAATACATAATTCAAAGCTCATTTCAAAACTCAATTCAAATCAATATTTTAATTTTGTTAAGATTTTAAATATTTTAATATTTAAATATGTTCAGATTTTTTTAATTTTTTGAATATTTTTAAATATTTTAATTTTAAATATTACGATTTTAATTTTTTATTTTTTAAAATATTTTATAAAATAAATTCAAACTCTATTTTATAAAAATATTTTAATTTTTTGTTATGTATTTGGTTACGATTTGAGTGTAGAGTTATGAAAATAGTATGAAGTTTCGATTTATGTGTTTGGTTATGAATTTTAAAAATAATTTCTTAATTGAGTTTTGTTTTATATTTTGGGCTACGATTTGAGTGTAGAGTTGTTTTTAAATTTAAAATATTAAAATTTAAAATTATTTAAATTTTTTTAATATTTAAATTATTTAAATTTTTACGATTTAATTTTTTTGAATATTTTTTTTTTAATTTTTTACTTA